CTGATCTGAAAAATGAGGGTTTTAGTTGTGCTCCAAAACTAGAAAATGGTCAAGAATCATATGAAAATTGACACGAAATCATTATTAAAATTACCCAAGTATTGTCATATTTTTATATTTGTTATTTATCAAGCAAGTAGTGTTTGACTGACATAATTGGCTGAGAACTATCTTCATCGACATGATACAGAAAAAAGAATTTGAGGAGCGATAAAAACATGAAACTAAAAATGTTTTATTAATTTCCGCAACGGTCGCGAGGATTTGCAAGTTTCATTAAAACACTGGCGTATGTACTTACATCGACTAGTATCTGCAGCGCTTCCACATACGACCGCTCTGTATCGTATAATTCGACGACTACGTGGGTCCTGGTATCCTGAAAAGAAAGCAGGTTTACATAACTTTATAAATATTCACAAATTATATTAGAAGTACTTCTGAATTTATTTAAACAATTATGTGTTGAGGAACACACGTGCCGTCGTGGAGATATTTATATTTGATTTTACCAGAGTAAATATTTTATACGTCAGTCAGTACTAAGTAAACTTCATTTGAAATTCAAATAAGAGTTGGTTTGAAATAAAATTCTGATTTATGTACTCATAGTTACATGACCTAATAAGAATATACATTCAACAGAGTTTATATTCCTTCCTTTGAATGCACGAACTAATGATAAGTAACATTCTCGTTATTATATTTACATAATTATGGACAGGTATCAAATCTACTCAATAACATTTCATCAATGAAAATCTATAAGCTGATTTATACATTCAAATATATCTAATTCTCTCTGATGACTACTACTCATTAAATCGTTATTATCATTCAATTAAATTCATGTTAACTCCATTGTTCTCTCGAGCGTTGATCAATCAATTAGCTGTTCGAAAAACAACAGAGTATCACGTTGATTCCATTGTTTCGTGATGCAGATCACACGTGTATCGCATGAGCACGTGTGACCACTCACGTGCTATCCCGACACGGTCACGGTACTAACTGTGAGAAGAATCGTTTCCCATTACGTAACACTTAAGACACAGCGAATGATAATACTAAATTGCTTCCCAAAGACGATTGCGATTAATTCGCACAAAAGCGATTTCATATAAACGAAAACATTTATACTATATACAGATTTGATTCATAGAATTATATCGATCAGAAAGATTTCGTTTCTTCTCATGTTCCCTCTCTAAACTGCGCAATTTCAACATTCTACACCCGATCCGTTAGTACAATATTTAACGCAATCTCCAGACAGACGAAGGACGTGACGGACGATGCGGAAAAAATAAATTTTAAACCATGCATTAACAAATATACCCGATGATTTTTGCATTCGCATGAAATAATCGATCCATACGTAAAATCATATCCGTGGGTCACACGCAAAGAATATTCGTCTCTATGACCATTTCTCACAGTTCAAATTTAAGCATGAAAAGGAAAGCTACCCACGCGGTCTGTGCTGACACGCTCGTTATTTTCGCTGTCCACCGATGGCTGGCTGACGAGCTTGCGATCAGCGTTCATCGTCATCCTCTTCTAACGCCTGTGCCGGATCTTCGCGTTACGGTTCAAACTCTCTAAACGCATATCAATCGGGCTCACCGCATTCGAGTCCCATCACGATCACGTTTATAACACTTGTCCCAACACGTTTGATTGATTACCGAAACTTTTTCGATTGACAGATTCGGCGACCCGAGAGATCATCCGAACCATGCTCCCCTTCACTCTATTCGCAAAATAGTCATTTGTACCTGTCAGTGTCTTTGATGTAGCAAAATCAGAGGAGATTATTGTGACCTATTTTGTAATCTGTTCTGTAATATATTCATATAGGAATAAAACTTGAAAGGATTTATAGTATTGAGGTAATGGCATCGAAGAAATTTTCTCCTCAACCAGCTCGGGATCAAGTAGAGAATATTATGAACTTATGAAATATTGGGTAGTTATCAGTAAAGACCATAACACTCTCACGTAAAGATAATCCTACTGCAATCAAACTTTCGTTATTCTTTAAGCTACCTGCACAGAAAACTGTCCGTGAGATACGTTTACTTAGCAACCATGCCTTACTAAAAATATCGTGAATCATGTAAAAGTTATATCCGGTTGCAAACGCGAAAGAGTTGCAATATCGGAAAAAGCTAACGACGTGAGAAGAGAAGGTTTACTTCGATCAGAAATTCTCCCTTATCAGCCACAGGCATAGTTCGTTTTAATCCAGCCTCGTTATTATCGCATCAACATTTTCGTAACACGCTAACTGGTATTATTACTAAAATTTTATCAGTTACGAGAGAAATTGCTTGAAGTACAAAATTAAATTACTAATTAATTTTAAAAAAGCATCTGTCAAAGCGGTCAGATGTTTGATGAAATTTGTAAAGCGCTTCATCTTATAAAAATTTTAATAAACAAGAAGCTTATATGTTCCTCAGATTATTCACTATATTACTTATTTTCCTTTCTATGTTGCATAGAATTACACATAATGCATATATGTTGTTTAATCATCGATCATTTCAGCATTAAAGTTGAGAAACCATTCTGTAATTTCCGAACAATTATCGACAGACTTAAATTAGAACGAAAATGACTGAAGTAATGTCAATATTTTTGCAACGAATAAAGGGAGCAACGTTTATGTGAATTCGGTTATGATGCGAACGTGTTTCACCGCGAGTATCCGGTCGAACGAGCGAGATCGCGAACAAAAGCCCGGCCCCGTTGTTTGCACGAGCATCTAGCCCCTGAATGATTCAGCAGTGCCACTTTAAAAGCTCGGACCGTATGTCCGGCAAGTTTTGGCGTTTTCATGCAGAGCTTTCACACTTCGGGTTGGATGATCATACGTCGAACACGTCGTGCATGCACCACCGTTCTTCCATGCCGTGTTATATTTAGCGAGCTGACTCAGGGCCCCCTCGTGAGCTTGCAAACTCCCCTTTTTCGTCTCTTTCACGCTCACGCGTTCGTCCTTCTTTTTCCCATCATGAAACTTGCCATTCTGCACAATTACCAAACCGATTACATTCGAGCGTACTCTAGGAGCTGACTCTTTACTGACCGAAAGCTGGATCAAGAATTTTAAGTACTTTGCAACTAACAGCTAATCGTGAGATAATACCATTCGTTATAATTGATTAGAATCGAAATTATAATTCACACAATAACCGTTTATATAATAGTATTATCAATGATATTAATCATCATGTGGCCACTACTCGTAAATTTTCAACAAATATCTGATCAACCGGCTGTTTTCTTATTGCGATGTTGTTACATACGATAAACAATATGGAGGAGCTCTGAAAGAAATCTACGTACATATTTTCCTATAAAATTGAATCAATAATAGAGACGCGACGATGTGAAAACACATTGTCTAATGTTGATGCAAGGTTACGTCTACTTAATGCAAGATCTGTACGCAAGAGCAAATACGCATTTTCTCGATGAAATTTAACAGTTGCGATAACGTTTATTCTCTTATTTATCAACGTTCCTTACCATCCTCGTTACTATCTCCAATAATAAAACTCAATCAATTAATACAAATAATTATTCACATCAGCAAAAGAACTGTTTTTCATGTGTGTAATTTATAGAAGAATATGTAGAACGACTGACTTTTTCATCTCAAGGAATGAGACTTTTTGTATCTGACGCGCTTTATTTGTTCCATTAATTACATCTTCCCAGAAGAACAGCTTAAACCTAATTGTAAAAAGGTCTCCTAAGAAACCCGGAGGCTGTGCAAGTACACTCTTTGACCTTTTCATTTTACTTTGCATGCTATCGCGTTGTCGGCTCGGTGTTTGTTCAGCATTATCGTAAATCGTAAAAAGAGTGATTAAAAAATTTATTCATGGAATAAAAGAAGTGAAAAAGGGAGACAAGTAAAAGAGGGAGCATCAGCTATATTTTCTAAGCAGCATCGGATATTTCTACATGTCTACGAATATTTAACGTTTTCAGTTACGAGAAATGCTGACTGAATTTATGCGATAATGAGAGTTTTAGTATTCCAAAGGAATTGCACGATAATCCTGTCAAAGCAACGTAAAGTCAAAGGTCAACCCCTGATCTTTGCCAAGTATTAGGATTACCATGAGTGCGTGTATTATTCCTGCTAATTCTAATCCCAATTATGGGAGATTTTTCTGTCTAACACTGGAAATAGTGCATTGAATTTCTTGGAACATTAAAAGATATTATAACGTCTTTCATCTATCGTATATCTTATGTAATTATTACGAAAAACGTTGGGATTGACAATCGTTGACATAATAAACATCTGACATTCCTGCGAACATGATTGATACGCTTATTTTCACCGTTCTTTAGATCGCGAAGCAGCATGTAAGTAGTACACAACGATCCGAGAATAAATAGAAGGCAGCCGAGCTTACGTGATGCACTAGAAAATGTGCAGTTACTCTACTCTCGTAACAGTAGCTCTGACTGCAACATGCAACACAATCTGAAACCCTTGGAATCCTCTAATCATCGACAATAATTATTAAGCTAACTCACCCCTGAAGAATTCATTTCCAAACACTAATCTATATACTACTGCTCTAACTCTATCCTCTCTCATTAGCCATGTCACTAGATAGTTCAGTGCAAATGTACCAAGAAGACTATCTATGAGTCAAAGTAAATCAACTGTCAATCTCGTGAGTAAACTCTACAATCCTAAGCATCACCGGTAACGTCTAATCATCAGACATGATCGCACTAGTCTAACAAGCAGCTCCTGCCGATTAGCATTCTCGATGCGATACTTAAGACTCACACGTGATACAGGACGATCTAACGAGGACCGGATCAGCCTGACCACGAGGACACTGCTACGGAACCTCTCACGATTATGATCACGTTTAATACGATTACGAGGTATGTATATATGTGCTTTTAAAATATATTTTAATTGTCCATTTAGTCGCGTCGCCTACACTGTCACTGGGCCGATCCCGATCGAAAGTTGTCACACGTGATTACAGGACGAAGATACCGTGCCATTTAAACGCAAACTCCCAAATAGAATTCTAAGCTATCGGAGCTTTCTCGCAGTGCGGCAGCGAGACACGGCGTTACGCCTGAAACTGGCGACCCGTCGCACAACCACGGGCAGGCTGATCGATGCCCAAGAGAATAAGCGACCGCTCGTCGGAGCAAGAGAGGCAGACGTTTCGCTTCGAGAACGCCGGCGCGCGCTCTCACGTGGATTACACGCGCGCACCGTGTATCCTGACCCATCCTCCTGTTCGAGGAGCTTTTACCGCGCGCGCCAAGCGACCTTGTCCCAGGAAGTCACAAGCGCACGCGGCGCCGCCGTCGACCTTGTTGTTGCACCGCCGCCAAACAGCTTACCACCCAGTAGTTCAATATCGCGCCCTAACAATTACGTTTCCGTGAACCGAAAAAGTCCCATCCTCGACCTTCTGACCCTGCGCTTTTCGGTTCTGTTGTTACGCAGCTTTTCAAACGAAACCTATGATCGTGCTCATACGCGCCTCACGTGTTTACGCTTTTGTTTTATCGCGTGGATGGAGACAGAATGACAGAATGACGAGTGTACAGGAAAGAGTGGAGAGTGAAATTCACTGGCCTTGATAAGTTTACTCGGCGATCATACGAAAATATAATTTTACCAACAGAATATTTATGCTTTCCTCTGTGGTTTGTTTTTCATGTTTTTCACTCAGCGTTGACAAATCTTGCGTAGATTGCGAGGTCGAAATTACACGGTCTCTGGTTAGATATAAAAAACTGATATTCCATCTGGTCAAGGTAGTGTGTATGTCTACATACATAATTTCCAATCTTCGCCAGTAGCAAAATATTTTTATTAAATATCGTTCATTTTATGAATATACGACATTAGACGCATTGTGCTAATCTTTTTAACATTTCCAAAATTTCTATGTACACCTGAAGACGTACCGAGCAAAAGAAGTCATACAAATACTGATTAGCAGAAATACATAAAATTTNTACATTTGAGGCTTGTATTTCCTCAAGTCAGTTGTTTCTTCCAACTTCGCGCATGCACACCAAATACCAGAAAGTTTTCTTTGGATTACTGTTAATTACCACAAGAGTACATGCAAATTTTAAGTCACTATAATTTTTCAAAAAACCCGTGAATTTATTTAAAATTTTAGTATATAGTAAATTTAAAGTATATAGCCTATATCTTTAATCTACACAATTATAGTTAAAATAGCTGAGAATTCCATTTCATCAGCACATGCATTCGAGAAATCGTTCCTTGCTCACGCATTTGCCGCAATATACATATTTATACGTGTAACTGATACATTTTTTAATGTCTCGTTTTCTGTATGTTGAAGCCAGTCCGTGGCAGCATTTCAGGCTCGCAATTTTGAGATATTTTATTCGCATTTGGCTTCTCGTTCACGTTCTCATTACAGCTCGGTTTTCATGCACACAGACCGTCCATATTGCCGTTTACTCGTGAATATGAACTTTGGAACTTGCTTTCTGCGAATATTATTACCGTACGCGTTGAAACCGCAGGCTTGGAAACCAAAGTTGCGTAACACTTATTTGCCCATAAAATTCATAATAGAGAGCTCAATAATCGACTTATCCAATTTATCTTTCCATCATTAATCTGAGTACGTCCATATTTTTAAATCAAACACACATTTAATACAATACGTGTATTTTTTATGAGGAAAAACGAAAGAATGATTTTGGAATTTTCGTTGACGCTTTTATGTCTTGGCAATTTTTCATTTCGGGTGGAAGAGGGAGAAGTAAAAAAATAAGTTTTCAGCAAACAAGCGAGATGATAAAAGTAGAGAATCGCTATAAATTATTCAAGAATCTACGTCGTTTCCGACGTCACGTTCGCTGCCTACGTCACTACGTTTTGGCATTGTGAATCTCGCGATTCATTCATGAAATCTTAGAAAACTACCCAGCATCATCGGTTTAAAACGAATGACATCAGAAGACAGACAAAGAAGCTACTGAAATCCTTATTTATCTGAACGATTGCTATTTTCATCCACAAGTTTAGTTCACATGTTCTCCTAGCGATCTTTCCGTTGCTAAAAATTCTATACGTTCTCAGATAATAATGAAACAGTTAGGTGCAAAACTGGACACACGCTATTCACAATTGAATAATTTTGATAAAATCCGACCTAACGACCAGACTTTTTCTTACAAGTCAGGTGGATTAGTT